TTTGGGATGCATTGAAGGGTTGTATCGTTGGCGCCCAACATCCCGCATCCCTACTACAAAGACCCTTGGATGCAACCTTGTCACCCTTGAACGCGCTGATTCTCAAAAAAGGTGCATTGAAGGGTCTTGTTGATGCATTGAAGGGTTGCTTCGTGGGTACCCAACATTCCGCTTAAAAAGACCCTTGGATGCAATTGGTCTATTGAAACTTCTGCTGACGTTAAAGGGTCTTTGTACTGACAATGGCAAGGAAGTGGTGTTGCTGCAGTTGGCGCCCGAAATCTCGACATCCGTCTGGCCAGCCTGACTTGATTGAGTGCAGGGTCTGGTACATGGCGGTCATAATGGCTTGACAGTCAGCGACCCTTGGATGCAACCTTGTGACCCTTGACTGCGTTGATTCTTAAAACATGTGCATTAAAGGGTCTTTTGGATGCCTTGAAGGGTTGCTTCGTGGATGCCTACTAACATCCAGCATCTTTGAGGGACGCTTGGATGCAACCTTGTGACCCTTGAATGCGCTGAATCTCCGAGAAGGTGCATTGAAGGGTCTTTTCGATGCATTGAAGGGTTGCTTCGTGGGTGTCCAACATCCAGCATCTTTGAGGGACCCTTGGATGCAACCTTGTGACCCTTGAATGCGCTGAATCTCCAAAAAGGTACATTGAAATGGTCTTTTACCCTAAACCCTAAACCAGCCTAAACCCTAAACCCCTAAACCCTAAACCTTAAACCCTAAACCCGTAAAGCATTGAAGGGTTGCTTCGTGGATGCCCAACATCCAGCCATCTTTGAGGGACCCTTGGATGCAACCTTTTGACCCTTGAACGCGCTGATTCTTAAGAGAGGTGCATTGAAGGGTCTTTTCGATGCATTGAAGGGTTGTATCGTGGGTGCCCAACATCCAGCATCTTTGAGGGACCCTTGGATGCTACCTTGTGACCCTTGAACGCGCTGATTCTCAAAAAAGTTGCATTGAAGGAGTTTTATCGTGGGTGCCCAACATCCAGCAGCATCTTTGAGGGACCCTTGGATGCAACCTTTTGACCCTTGAACACGCTGATTCTTAAGAGAGGTGCATTGAAGGGTCTTTTGGATGCGTTGAAGGGTTTTATCGTGGGTGCCCAGCCAACATCCAGCAGCATCTTAGTCTTAGAGGGACCCTTGGATGCAACCTTGTGACCCTTGAACGCGCTGATTCTCAAAAAAGTTGCATTGAAGGGTCTTTTCTATGCATTGAAGGGTTGCTTCGTGGGTGCCCAACATCCCACCTAAAAGGACCCTGGATGATGTAATTTCACTGTCACTGCTGATAGGCAACCCAGTCGCTCCCCGTGTTGCCAGGCTGCTTTGGTGCCCACACCGGCGCCAGCCGACGCTCCGACTTTGTGGCCTGAGTTGCTGAGACTGGTTCCTAGTCATAGGTTCCCAGGCTCCCAGGCTCCCAATATTTAAGATTTTAAGGTTACTGCCAGGCTCCATGGTTGTTCGCCTGTGTTCGCCTCTGCCACCGTCATCTGTCCACCCTTTAAGGGTGGACAGATGACCGTGGCAGAGTCGCTGAGGGAGTCTGGGGACATGGAAACCTTGCCGGTGGCCGTTCCGTGGATGTTCACTGCCGGTGCATGAAACAGAGCAGCAACAGACTTCAGGCCCCAGGCGCCACACGCAGCATCAATCGAACCAGGTGTTTCCACTGGAAACACCTGGTTCGAATTGATGCTGCGGGGAATGCACGGCGTGCACGCGGAACATCAATTGCAGGTCCAGGCTCAACGGCTTGGAAAAATAAGCATGCCCCGTGGAGTCCTCATCGTCATCATCTGTCATCAATGTCATCAGGTTCCGAGGCTTGTTCAAGGTTCATGGGCCGCAACATCATCATCACCATCATCATCATCATCAGTCATCTGAGTCATATGCGAGGCTTCCAGGCCCAGAGGGCCCAGAGGATATGCGTGCCACGGGCTTGTAGAGTTGACTTGCAAGTTGTAGTCCAGCCGGATTGGTCTGAGAGGTTTAGGTGTCACAATTTCTGGAGAAAAACAGTGTGGAAGCGGCAGAGATTCTGCCGCTTCCGCGCCGTCCCAGGTTCACGGGCATGCAGGAGAGCGTGTCGAAGGCCTTTCGACACGCTTTCCTGCATGCCGTGCCCGTGTGGTATCGGCTTCCAGGTTCAGCTCGGCTAAAATAAGTTTTCCTAACCAGTCCGGCTTCGCGACTGTTGCCGAATTCATCTGCGGCTGAAGATCTGCCGCAAGACTCCCCCCCTGGCTGGGCCGAGACATGTGCCGTTACATGACAATCATCACGAGGCTCGGGAAAGGTTCGGTTCCTAGGTTCCCAGGCTCCCAGGTAGAATAGTTCGTTGGGTTGCCAAGCTCAGTCTGTTACCCTCAGTCAGGGAGTCTGTGTTCGGCAGAACTTTGAATTGCTCCGCTGGCAACCCAGCTCCCTGGGCTGATAAAATATAATAATAGTTCCGTGGAGTCCTCATCGTCATCATCTGTCATCAATGTCATCAGGTTCCTTTCATGGGCCGCAACATCATCATCACCATCATCAGTCATCAATGTCATCAGGTTCCCAGGCCCGTTCAAGGTTCATGGGCCGCAACATCATCATCACCAGCACCATCATCATCTTCAGTCATCAGTCGAGGTTTCCAGGCCCAGAGGGCCCAGAGGCTATGCGTGCCACGGGCTTGTAGAGTTGACTTGCAAGTTGTAGTCCAGCCGGATTGGTCTGAGAGTTGAAGGTTTCACAAGGTTGCTGGGTTCTAACACTCTTTGCCTGTTAGCCTGTTCCCAGACACAGGCTGCAGGAGAGCGTGTCGAAGCTCGAGGTGTTCTCCTGCCAGCCCGTGTGGTATCGGCTTCCAGGTTCAGCTCGGCAACCGCAAATGATTAAATTTATTAAGTTTCTCCTAACCAGTCCGGCTTCGCGACTGTTGCCGAATTCATCTGCGGCTGAAGATCTGCCGCAAGACTCCCTCCCTGGCTGTGCCGAGACATGTGCCGTTACATGACAATCATCACGAGGCTCGGGAAAGGTTCGGTTCCTAGGTTCCCAGGCTCCCAGGTAGAATAGTTCGTTGGGTTGCCAGGCTCAGTCTGTTACCCTCAGTCAGGGAGTCTGTGTTCGACAGAACTTTGAATTGCTCCGCTGGCAACCCAGCTCCCTGGGCTGATAAAATATAACAATAAAAATTTAATCATGAATTTTGAAGCATGTTCCGTGGAGTCCTCATCGTCATCATCTGTCATCAATGTCATCAGGTTCCCAGGCCCGTTCAAGGTTCATGGGCCGCAACATCATCATCACCATCATCAGTCATCAATGTCATCAGGTTCCCAGGCCCGTTCAAGGTTCATGGGCCGCAACATCATCATCATCACCATCATCATCATCATCATCATCAGTCATCAGTCGAGGTTTCCAGGCCCAGAGGGCCCAGAGGATATGCGTGCCACGGGCTTGTAGAGTTGACTTGCAAGTTGTAGTCCAGCCGGATTGGTCTGAGAGTTTTAGGTTTCACAAGGTTGCTGGGTTCTAACACTCTTTGCCTGTTTGCCTGTTCCCAGACACGGGCGGCAGGAGAGCGTGTCGAAGCTCGGCATGTTCTCCTTCAGCCCGTGTCGTATCGGCTTCCAGGTTCAGCTCGGCAATCGCAAATGAAATTAATTAAGTTTCTCCTAACCAGTCCGGCTTCGCGACTGTTGCCGAATTCATCTGCGGCTGAAGATCTGCCGCAAGACTCCCTCCCTGGCTGGGCTGAGACATGTGCCGTGACATGACAATCATCACGAGGCTCGGGAAAGGTTCGGTTCCTAGGTTCCCAGGCTCCCAGGTAGAATAGCTGGGATGAGACCTGTGCCGTGGCATGACAGTCATCATCGAGGCTACAATAATAAATTTAAATAAATTTAATAAGCATGCCCCGTGGAGTCCTCATCGTCATCATCTGTCATCAATGTCATCATGTTCCCAGGCCCGTTCAAGGTTCATGGGCCACAACATCATCATCACCATCATCAGTCATCAATGTCATCAGGTTCCCAGGCCCGTTCAAGGTTCATGGGCCACAACATCATCATCACCATCATCATCATCAGTCATCAGTCATATGCGAGGCTTCCAGGCCCAGGGGGCCCAGAGGATATGCGTGCCACGGGCTTGTAGAGTTGACTTGCAAGTTGTCTGTAGTCCAGCCGGATTGGTCTGAGAGTTTCTAAAAGGTTGCTGGAGACTAACACTCTTTGCCTGTTTGCCTGTTCCCAGACACGGGCTGCAGGAGAGCGTGTGCAAGCTCGGCATGCTCTCAACCGCTACTCGGGAAGCCGGACTGGTTAGGAGAAACATCATCATAATATGATGATGCTGCTCCTCACCAGTCCGGCTTTGCGACTGTTGCCGAATGCATCTGCGGTTGAAGCTCTGCCGCAAGACTCCCTCCCTGGCTGGGCTGAGACATGTGCCGTGACATGACAATCTGACAATCATCACGAGGCTCGGCAAAGGTTCGGTTCCTAGGTTACCAGGCTCCCAGGTAGAATAGTTCGTTGGGTTGTCAGGCTCAGCACAGGTCTCAGCCCAGGGAGCTGGGTTGCTTGCGGCGAGTCTTGTTCCGTCGCAGATTCAGTCGAACACAGACTCCCTGACTGAGGGTAACCAGTCAGCATCGAGGCTTGGAAAATTAAGCATGCCCCGTGGAGTCCTCATCGTCATCATCTGTCATCAATGTCATCAGGTTCCGAGGCTTGTTCAAGGTTCATGGGCCGCAACATCATCATCACCATCATCATCATCAGTCATCATCATATGCGAGGCTCCCAGGCCCAGATCCCTTAAAATTTTTCGGGAGGGTCGACGCACACACCAAGTTTAGGTGCAAGACTTGTGGCCCGGGGTTCCAAGTCTCCGTTGTTCGGGCTCTGGGCGTTGATGGATTCTCTGGGCCTAGGGTTGTATGATGGCATCTCAGAGTTTCAGGCCTGTGCATGAATTTTGCTTCTGGTACCTCCAAGACACTCTTGGCCTCGGTGCTCGACAGCCAGAACCCTGAAACAAGAAAAACAAAACCTGAACCCTAAGGCTTAAAAATGCCTCGAACTCAAAAGGTGCTCGAATACGTGAAGCAATTTGTCGAGGAACCCTTCAGGGGGGTTCTTCGGAAGGCTCTCTTGTCCTTGCCTCCGGCCGGCCAAGCCTACGTGCTCAAGACCTTTTGCGCGCCACGGAGACTTTGGCGTACTCTAACGGCTGGGGTGTTTGGTAGGGTTGAGTCAGGAGTCGAGCTTTGTCGGATTTTACGTCGGGTTTCTCATGATCAAAAGATTGTGCCTCAAATACGGGGCACGGGCTCTCTGGGTGAATTTTGATATCATTACACCCCTGATGCCCAAACCCTGGACCCCAAACACCCAGTCTGCAGGGCCTTTCTGAGTTCCGACATCATCATGAGGAGAAGGGGCATGAAAGAAAAGTAGACCTTAAACCCTCCATCGCTCTTGGTCCTTCGAACTAGTTGCCTTGGAGGGGGTGTTTAATGTTACTGGATGTGTATAGCACCCTATACTATTCAAGATCGGCGGTTTGTTTTTTTAGGTTTTGGATGTGTTTTCATTGGGTCTCACGGCTTGTGGTCGAGTCTAGTCTAGTTTTGGCTTCGTTCATGAGCTCTGTTGATTCGGGCCTGGGTCGGAAATTACTTGGTCATCGATTTGTGTGCACCTGGGGATTTAGATTTATAGCGTTGGACGCAGCCTCAAGAGTTCATTGAGTATGTGCGACAATTCTTCCGATGAATGCCACCTTCAGATCGACATCAAGACCTCCAAATCTTCAGAACCGCTTTCCCTTGATCAGCCGAATAAGCCCTGAAGGATAAACAAAAGCCTCCGGTGCTATACTATGCCGAAGCCGTATGACTCAGGAACGATCCGGCCGGCGCATTGTGCCGGCAGGTAGAGGTCTTGCGCCGCCTGGGGAATCAGGCACCCTACGCTACGGCGCTGCTCGGACGATGTTGGGTGTCGTGCTTCCGGTTTTTTTCTGGGTACTCGCAGAGCCCAATCTCGGGACAGAGGCCTAGGAGTGCCTTGGGTTTGACCTCTAGGTGGTTTCAGGATGCCTGACTTTGTGGCTTTTGCTTGTTCCGGGCTTGAGGACTTAAGGCATGATGTGTAGACTTCCAAGTCTCACACAACTTGCATTTAAACAAGATCAAGAAGGCTGCGATCTGCCGGTTTCGCTCTTCCCCCTTCTTCTGCCGTCACACCTTTAGGCCTTAAGAAGCTTCTTCCTAAACAACACTGAAACCTTAGGCTAAACCCTAAACCTTTAGCTTGACAAGAGCAGAAGAAGGTTGGAGCAGGCGACCATCCGTGTGCCCACCAGCGGTGCGATCCTCGGGCGCTGCGTTCCGGAGGTGGCCGCTCTTTGCTGGCACGAAACAGATCCGGTGGCGGCAGCACACTGCCGCATCTCTTGCAACAGAGCTTGATGGCCAAAACCCTAAACTTCCCTAAACCCGAAAACCTAAACCTGACCCCTAAACCCTGCCCTAAACCCAGGTCCGAACTTCTTGTTTTGTCAGTTTCGGTTTAGGGCCTTTTGGGGTTTAGGGTTTAGGGGTTGCAAATCTGGCCAGGCTTGACTCCAGCAGCAAAAATAGGGGTTGCATGGGATGTTGTCTTGCTGAAGGTGACATTACTAAGATAGCTTCCTTGCTTCGAAGCGTGCTCAGGACTTACGGACGGACCACCTAACCAGATGTCCCCTTAAACCATGAAAACCTACATAAAACTCCACGTCCTCAAACCCCTAAACCCTAAACCCCTAAACCCTAAACCCAAGTCTTTGTGACAGCGATGTCTACAGGCATCAACGGCCAGTTCTCTGTGTGTGACCTCGGGGCAGAGGAGGAGGGAACACTTTTCGACGGCCGGCGCTTGGGCACGGCTTGGTGTCCACTGAAGGACACGAGATCGAACTTTCGATTAGAATATGGGGGGGGTGGCGTGTTGATGACAATGGGGCTCCTGAAAGCAATCCTTCAAGCAGTTATAACGCGCCCTGTATTCTGTTAGGTCCAGAAATCCAGAAAAACCTTGACAAAGCGAACACATGATAACTCCCACAGCCCCGGCTTTCGAAGACTTGAAACACACGAAAATGCGGGTCTGAATATCCGCATATCATGCCCTCATAATCCTATGTACTAACCGAGGCGAATCAAACTGAGTCAAACATCAACAAAGGAGTAATAGGGTTTCGGGTAGAGTATAGTGCTATCGGTTTTGGATCGGAGGATACTGTATAGATCTCTTTGCAAGACAATAAACTGTTCATTATCTAAACCTAAGTAGAACAGTACTAATGTGAACCAGACTATGGCACTTTTAAGATTCTAAGTTCTGTACCAAAGCACCTCTGACGACAAACCCTTGGAAGATACTGTCGGGAGCAAGCGCTTAGAAAGTGGCCTGGCTTCAGGAACCCAGAACTCTAAACCTTGAAGCCTAGACTCCAAGACCCATAAACCCACACCCACGAACTCCGACTCTGACCTGCAAACCCTAAACACCTCAACCCTGAGATCCTGGACCTTGCAGCGCAACCCTAAGTCCCCAAACCTCAATCCCAAACCCCTAAACCCTTAACGACACGATTTAGGGTTTTAGGGTTTAGGGTTCTAGGGTGAGAGGGTTTAGGGTCTAATCCCGGCGGAAGGACGGGACTAACCTCGACCTGGGTCCCATCCGCATCCGCGTTGAGCTCAAGCCGGTCCAAGCGGCTCCCAGCCAGGCACCTTGGCGGCGATGTTGGTGGTCGATGTGCTTGTTTTTTCCTGGTGTTGTTGAGCGTGACCGAGAGAGAGAGAGAGAGAGAGAGAGAGAGAGAGAGAGAGAGAGAGAGAGAGAGAGAGAGAGAGAGAGAGAGAGAGAGAGAGAGAGAGAGAGAGAGAGAGAGAGAGAGAGAGAGAGAGAGAGAGAGAGAGAGAGAGAGAGAGAGACAGAGAGAGAAAGAGAGAGAGAGAGAGAGATTATAAAAAGCAAAAGCAAAGCCAAACGGGGCTTCAGCACCCAAACGCCTCTGAGATGCAGCCGTCAAGAATCAGCAGTATTGTCTCAGGCATGGCGGTATGATCCCTGTCTATGTAAATGCTATACAAGGTAGCAGCTAAAAATACAAACCCAATCGCCCGTGGCCATCAGCCGTGCCTAACCCTAGGCCCGATCTGCCGGCCCAAACTCTAAGAAACACCCCGAGCAACCTAAACCCCCAAAGCAAACACACAAGACAACCGTGATAAGGAGCCCAAACAAAAAATATTTCGATCTATACACCCTAAACCCTACACCCCAAATTAAAGATTCTACACCCGGACCCTCAACCCTAAGCCCTTCAAAAAGCCGAGGCCCAGAAGCCGAGTGCTCCGGCGAAGCGGGGCGCCTGGCGATCCGCGAAGCGCAAAGGCGGCGACCTGCCGGCGGAGCCTGCGCAGCCCAAGCGCCCCAAGGCGGACCTGAAGAAGATCACGGCTCCCCTTCTTCGCATCTCCGTCCCAAAAGCAGTAGTCTGGTGTTATGTCGTGTTTTGGATCCTTAGTGAACTGGTTTTGGGGGTGGCATGGTGGAGTACAAAGTCGTAATTATCTTGCACGCTTCCTTTGACCCCTTGTCGAACTGAAACTCTGAAAGCCTGGACCTTGCAACCCTTAGGACAAAGGCCTCAAATCTTAAACTCCAAATCCAAAGCCCTAAACCCTGGGCCCCAATATATTAGGATTCATATGACGTACCCTAATAAGGACCCAGGGTTTCTTAAGGTTCCTACATTAAACCCTGGGCCCGGTGAGTCTCAAGTCCTTATTAGGGTACGTCATATGAATCCTAATATATTGGGGGTTACAGGGCCAGGGTTTCTTAATCAGGTTCCTACATTAAACCCTGGGTCCGGTGAGTCCCTAGGAGAGCCTTCTCCCGAGCCGCAACCTGCCGGGCTGAGATCCACAGCGCAGCTGCAGCAGCCTGGCTTTCGAAAACTTTTCAGGTTTCTAAAGGGCCCCTTTAAAGGGATCTATAAGAGATTTTCTAAGGGCTCCTTAAAGGGATCTACAAAAGGGTTCTATAAAGAGTTTAGGGTTTAGGGCTTCCGAAAATTAGGGGTACCTTCTTTGGGGTCCTTATAATAAGGATCCTGCTATTTACGGTGCTGCATTAGGGTCCTCTATTTCGGAAACTCCCATAAGGGTTTGGGGATGTTTAGGGTTACTTTGCGGGATTCGTAAGGGGTTCAGAGTTTGTGTGGGCCTCAGTCAAGATGATTGCAGGTCGTTCTCTGGCTAGACTTGAGTCCAGCAGCGAAGGGGTTTTAGAGGGTTGAACTCGAAGTTAAGATGTGTTAACCTGTTAACATTACTCACTTAGCATTTACGGTATAAGGCTTCAGGTTTCAAGGTCCCAGGGTCTAGGGTTTCCGGGTGGAGGTGCGGAGCTCAGACGCTTTATAGGATAGCGTTACAGTTTCGTGTTTGTGTTCGTTTACAGCTTGCCGGAACCCTGCGAAACCTTGTTACATGTGCGCAATATATAAGATGATATAGTACACTAATCGTTGGCCTATGTAGGTCGGGTTCCGTTTTGGAGCTGCCAAAACAGCTATACTGCTCTAAGAACTCGGCACAAGCCGCTAGACGCCGTAAACGTCCAACCCCAAAACGTATCCGAACCCTTATATAAACCCTGCGACACAACCCCAAGAAAGATAAATCCACATTTAAGAAATGGTCATCACCACCTTCTTCATAGCGATAGTTATAGCAATGGCCTAGAAAGTCAACTTTAAAAAAGGGCTTGAAGGAGGCAGTCTGAGCAGCAACAACGAAGATCAGGACTCCCTTCGCCATGCCTGGGGACCCGGTACCGTCGCCACCGAGCCCTCCGCGCCTCCGCAGCGGGGTGCTGGATGCCGAGCAGCCTGTCTTGCGCACAGTTCTTTGTTGCTTTTAGGTTTGGGCTGCGGGCTTTGGGGTTTAAGGCTACAGATTCCGGCTGTTTCTTCACTTTTGGATTTAGGGTTGAGCTTTAGGCGTTTAGGCTTTGGATTTGGGCTGTAGCGTGTAGTAGGCTTTCGGGCTCAAGGTTTGGGCTTTTTGGTTTGAAACCCCTAAACTACCTAAACATGTTCAATTCCCAAATAGAATTCAATAAAAATCGAGAAGGACTGCAAAGCTCCTAATTCCCAAACTCGCTTAAACCGCGATCCCTGAGTCCCTGTCCTGTGCACAGCCTGCAGCCCCCAAAACCAAGGAATACTGCCGACACCAAGCCCGAACTCCCCAAAGCATCTGAGAACCCTGCAGTAACATACACATCTATATAGATATATGGAGACAGAGAGAGAGAATGAGAGAGAGAGAGAGAGAGAGAGAGAGAGAAAGAGAAAGAGAGAGAGAGAGAGAGACGGGATCTGCTTGCCCTCCACGCCCCAGAGCAAAGCAAATCAAAGAGAGAGAGAGAGAGAGCGAGCGAGAAAGTTTCATGCGAACCCGCGACTCCGGATGCTTGGTTGAAACTTTCTCTCCCTGCAACTGTCGGGGGCTCACATGCGCGCGGTGTAGGGACCAATCTCCTACGCCATCTCCGAGAGAGAGAGAGAGAGAGAGAGAGAGAGAGAGAGAGAGAGAGAGAGAGAGAGAGAGAGAGAGGGGGAGAGAGAGAGA